AAAACAAAGAGAGTTGATACTGGACAGCTGTGCATGGGGCTGGGAGGGCTGAGAAGGGATATCCTGGGGCATCCAAGTCAGAAATAAGTAAAGAACAAGTGACAGAAGTCTGTGGATGGATATTTTTATAAACTTAAAGTGGCATAGACTATAAGATAAAGAAGAAGAGACATAAATGGAATTAGCGGTTAAACTAATAAGACAGGCCAGTGTGCTTGTTCATTTGAGTACATAAACGGAAGATGATTATTTTGAATGCCTTTTCTTTTTAAAACAAGGTAAGCAGTTTGGTTTTTAGAGGCTTTACTGTCCTAATAAAATAGCAATAACACAACTGAATTAGGAGATAACTTTCTTAATCTCCAAGTATGTGATGTCAATGGTTAGACAGGAAATCAAAAGAAGACTTGCTTAACAAACAGACAGTATAAGTGATGAAACGAATGAGGAATCGCTTGATCTGACAATGCAAGAGCTTTAGCACAACAAAAGAAATTACAGAAGAAAGCTGGAGAGATTAGCACTGCCGAGATCCAAGATCGCTTGATATGTTGTCGAAAAAGAAAGATGTTGTTGATAGATGGCACCCTGGTAGAGCCCTACCTAACAGGTGTGTTAACTTTTTCAATGATAACATTGTCGAACACTTGAGAACAATTAAAAATGATCGCCTACACCAGATCACTTTAAAACGCTGACTGCCAACAACACTAACAAGAAAATGTATTGACCCCAAACACTCCACAAGTGGTGAACGAACACGATATGAAACACCAGAAAGAATTCCTCATGTTGTCGTTGCAGCTGACTCACTTCAATCTCTGCCAATCTCTCCTTCCCCTCCTACTTCTACGTGTTACGTCACCATTCCGGTCAGGGTACAGTCAATACAATGTTTTGATATCATTTTTTATTTCTGTTTATATTCGAATATTTTTTTTTATAACAACGGATAAACATGGCACACGGATAGTAACACATAAGTGCTCTGTACCTATCTAACTCAAGCATAAGTCCGAAAAAGCTCAGCACAGGGCACGGGCTCTGTAGCACCGGCGAGAATCCTGAAATGTTTTGGTTAGTTTTTTTAACTCAAAATTTTTCCCGTGTAGCGCCCTTAGCCTACCTTTTTTTTTTTTCAATTTCCAACTGCCAATGAATTTTTTTATTGGCAACAATACATACGGGCGTTTGATCTCACTACCCAGAGACCAGAGGGAATTACTTGAAATCCAAGTCCACGTGAAAAAATGCCAGCCTTTGAACCCAGAACCGCTAGCACTCGAGGCGGACACCATTCCTCGAGACCAAGCAACCCCCTATTCTAATATGATCATCATCAAGCTAGATGTTGGGAGGGCCCTTTGGGAACGAATGAACAGCGCGGAGGCACAAAGAGATCATTACGGTCTGAGGATAATGTCGCTACGTGTAGTTACCAGTGTATCGGGCCGACGCACAGCGCTCAGGAGAAAGGCCAGATGGGTGTACAATCAGACAGTTACTGATACTTTCGGAATTGGAACTCTTCAGCTGCTGAAGATGGGGGCGAAGCGCTTATGGGAGTGTCCCGAGTGCTATGATTTTGATTCTTAATTCAATATTCAACATTATAATCATCTGTTACTAGAGAAACAACGTACAGCATTAAGAAAAAACACATTTTAAAATTGGAGTTTGCTTTACCCTAGAACAGACTGGTTTAGTTTTCATTATTTTCAATAGAAAAAAATTGAGGGATTTGGAATTCGAACGCCGTCTCGGAGCGGTTTACCAGTGTACCTTTTTTGAGAGTCGCCGTCGCGTAGAGGCTAGACGCTCGCCTTCGGATCGGAAGGTCAAGGGTCGCTACCTGGCGGAATCAGATTTTTTTAATGACTTTGGCTCCCAGGTGGACCCAGCCTTGAGTGGGTGCAGTCCTGGGAAGTATAGGGGGCCGGTGTGATGCTGACCACATCACCCATCTTGTGCCGATTGAATTATAAAATATCATCTCTATCCCTATATGCCCTGTGCGCATAAGGGCGTGGAAAAGGGTCCTTTACTTTACTTACTATACCTATTAGAGGCAAGGTCAGCCAGGGAGCAGAAGTCGCGTCCCATGGGGATTCCACTCCAAGACCTCCAAACAGACAAACAAACGTCTACTGTACTACAGCTGCTTTCGTTAACGAGAGACTTTCTTTTAAAAATTAGCATTCTAGTGGTCATCTCATTAGTATTTTTTAAACAATGATGAAAATATGGGGGTGAGTGCAGTCAAGCTAATGAAAATATGGGGGTGACACCACATTTTTTTAAACGTTGCTCACGTCACATCTTAGAGATCTACATACTCTCCTCTCCTCGTTGTTACGTTTGTGTAGTTCACTTATGTTTGAAAAAGGCCGCCCTGTCGAAACGTTACGTTGTGTTGTTTTGTGCCCGCTTTTCTGCTTCCCCATTTTGTTGAGATTTTTAGTCGAATTTCTCTGGAATTCCTAGTATTATTCCATAACGCTGGTCACTTTGTCTACATTCAATTAAAGCTGTTTTTTTTATCTTTTTCTTCGAGTCCACGGGTTGTAAACTCCGCTGAATAGTTTTGGTTGTTCGTCCACCTCTGAACTTTAGACACTTTCCAGAACGTGAGTACTGATTGCATTTTTCAGATCTGACACATTTGTAAGCGGAATATTGGTTTCTTGCCTCTCGGGTAGATGTACTCCGACTTCAAAGAATGTTCTCTTCTTCCCCACCCCCACTCCACCCCACCCCCCAGTTACTCGACTCTTGCAACATGTTTGTGTCAGTGGGTCTCTTCTCCCCCCTTCCCACTATGGGGCCCAGAAACCGACACACAAAAATTGACGCTGCTTGTTGTGCATGTTTGCAACATAAGACAAGACGGACTGGCATTTGACAGATTAATCACTAGTTTCTTCTTCTTCTTCTTCTTCTTCTTCTTCTTCTTCTTCTTCTTCTTCTTCTTCTTCTTCTTCTTCTTCTTCTTCTTCTTCTTCTTCTTCTTGTTCACCGGTTTTGAACTCCGGTAGAAAATTCATGGTTGTTCGTCCACTTTTGAAATCTAATCTTGCTCAAGAACTTCAGTTTTGTGTGCACATCCGTTTTACAGATTTGGCTTACTTGTATGCAGACTGTTGGCTCTTTGCCTCTCATTCAGATGCACTCCGACTTTCTGGAAACCCCCGAATGGTCTGCTTTTACGGTATGATTGCTAGAGAGGCAGTTGGTCTATTCCCCCCCCCCCCACCCCTTAATTGGGCCCCGGAACCCACACGGGGAAAATCACTAATTCATCCTTACATTCATCTGTATTTAAATAGTAAACTAATTTAATATACATTCATCTGTATTTAATTAATAAACTAATTTAATATACATTCATCTGTATTTAATTAATAAACTAATTTAATATACATTCATCTGTATTTAATTAATAAACTAATTTAATATACATTCATCTGTATTTAATTAATAAACTAATTTAATATACATTCATCTGTATTTAATTAATAAACTAATTTAATATACATTCATCTGTATTTAATTAATAAACTAATTTAATATACATTCATCTGTATATTAAATTAGTAACCATGGAAATGAGATGTCTAAGAAGGGCTGCAGGAGTGACCATAAGAGATCAGATCAGGAATGAGATCATAAGAGAAAAAGTCGGCACAGAACCTATTCTAGATTACATACGAAGACAGCAAGTGAAATGGTTTGCCCACTTAGACAGAATGCCTTGTGACACCATACCATACAAAGCATACACGGAAAGAGAAGAAGGAGGTAGAGCACGAGGTAGACTAAGAAGAACATGCAAGGATAACATCAGAGAAACTCTACAACAGCACGATGTGCCTATGGTCGAGGCAGCCAGAAGAGCTAGAAACAGAACCTTATATCTCCCTCGACACCCACAGCGGTAAAAGAGGAAGTGAAGAAGAAGAAGAAGAAAAGGAAGAAGATTCATCTGTATTTCATAATTAACTTTCATTTTCAAAATTCATTATTTTTTCAAGTTTTACTTTCGAAAGTTCAGTTTCCTGGTTCTCCCTGTTGTCAATTTGTAAATGTTACTTTACACTACAATTGTTGACATCTCCCTCTCCCTTTCATCGTCTCCCGATCCCCGTCTCCCTCCCCCCCCCCCCCCCCTTATACATACACACATTCTCTCTCTGTTTATTTTCTTGCATTGTTGATGTCGGATCGGAAGGTCGTGGGATCGCTCCCTGGCGGAGCCGGACTTTTTCAAAATGAACTTGCTCCCGGTCGACCCAGCCTTGAGTGGGTACCGGGTGCAGTCCCGGGAAGTAAAGGCAGACAGCGTGACGCTGACAACATCACCCATCTTGTGCAGATTGGAATATAAAAGTATGTCTAGCCCTATATGCCTAAAGGGGTGTAAAAGGGTCCTTTACTTCACTTACTTTACGTTAAATTTCTTCCTAGTAATTTTTGGAATTCTTCTGTTTCAAATATTTTTCTTGTTCCATCTGACTATGTGTACTTAGTGTGTCACTATGTGCATTTGTTTCCTTTATGTTTGTATTTGACACGTGTCACCTTAGACCGCACCCTCTCTGCCAATCTGGGACCTTGCCATCGGCAAGCTGGACATCAAAGATGTGTCCAGGTAAGATCCCCAGCTGGTCACTACTGTCCCATGATTGCATTGTTCTGGCCCAGATGGTACAGCCACGTTGCGAGGGTCGATTGCTGACACAAGAATACCTATATCCCTGGTGGTATACTTCCATCTATGTTACGGTTTTACGTGTCATTTCTATAAGCTGGGTGGGCACGGTCAGTTTCCGGGACCTTTCTAGAAGGATTGTCCAAGTAAAAGGTTGGTCCATGTGTTTCATCTTCTACTGGATGCTTCAGTTTTTTAACAACAGTCGTGTTGTACGGTCGTGTTCTTCTACACCAAAGTGGACTATATTTCAGACTTGGATTTCTCGATATTAAACTTAAATTATATTAAGATGGCTCATTCTGTTCTCCGAGGTCCCGTTGTGTTTAATTTTGACATTGATTTTTTAAATTCATCAAGAGTAAACTTTGAGGCGACCATTGACGCCAACAGAAATGGGGACGTTGTATTAGCCTCTTTCTGGGGTCAGCCCAACTGGAAATTTATAGCCAAAAGATTTACTTTACTCAACGAGGAGAGAGTTGCTAGAAACAAAAGAGTGTTTTTTCGTGAGGTCCAATTCATGCAATCATCGGATCACCCATTTCTGGTTAAATGCATTTATGCAGCTGCATGCCCCATGTATTTATCGATATATATGAAATACTACCACAGAGGCACACTAGAACGCTATCTTGGCCACATGAGCCTTGACATGTCAGAACTATGCGTCATCCAAGTGGCGTGTGCACTTCGCTATCTACACAAGAACAACCTGGTTCACCTCGATGTAAAACTGGCCAATATTTTCCTAGATGAAGAACATAACGCTATCCTTGGGGACTTCGGCCTTGCAATGGAGATGGAACCCCAACAACAGACACTGGCCAAACGTTTTATTGGCAGTACAGATGGGTACGCGGCGCCGGAATGGGTGGCAGCTTCACCTGACATGGAACTGGATCCCTACAAAGTAAGTGCTACCTTTTACGCCATGTTTATATATGAAATTATGTAAGAATTTAATTTGCACCTCACACTATTCACGTTGTCTCTCTGCTTATTAAATCCATGGTCTGTAAATATAAACATTATTGCTCCCAATTAATATCCACCTAATTTCATTAGTGCTTCCTACTCTTATTGCGTTTCTTCACATTACGTGTCTCGCGTTCCTGCCTATTTTTGTTTTATGTTTAGATCCTTTCTTTTCTTAGTTTCTTTTCCGTTTTCTAGCGCGGTTGCTGCGTACGCTTTCTGGTGTTTCGTGTTTACACATTTTCATCTTTCTATTCACTCCTCCTCCATCTGCTTCTATTACTCTGTTTATGCTTCTTTTTCTTCATCTGCTTCTCTTTCTTCTGCTTCTTCTCTTTCTTCTTTTTCTTCTTCTTCTTCTTTTTTTTCTTCTTCTTCTACTTCTTCTTGTGTGTGTGTGTGTGTGTTCTTGTGTCTCTGTTTTTCATTCCAAGCACAACAAAATCAAACCAATAGTGAAAAGACGCAAATACCTAATGTGAATCTAACTGTAAGATAATAGCCGAAGGCAAGGGGGTGGGGGGAGGCGGACGACACGACTAAGACAATTTTAATAGTTTTACACCAGTTTAAAAAAGAGAGAGAGAGAGAGAGAAGTTTAAACAATTATTTTTAAGAGAGAGAGAGGGTTGGAAATTTTAACAAGAGAAATAAAAAAAAAGATGGAAGACAATGCAACTTTTGAGACAGTGTAAAACTAAATCTGAATCATTGCTTGATACAATTTTTTTCTTGTTGTTTTCTACCTTGTTGCCTTGGTCTCTGTCTTATTAGTTTGACTAATCCTGTTCTTCCATGTTTCTATGTTGAAGACTTCGGACCGAATATTTATACTCTTAAGTACAGCTGTCTGTGATAAAAGAAATTAATTTAACATTTTGGGGCTGAAAGACTTTCATTAGAGTGTCCACTAGTTAGTGTCGCTCGCCTACCGGCCTGTAGATCTGGAGTTCAAATCTGCATTGAGGCAAATTGTTGTCCCAGGTCGACAGCCTAAATGGGTACTAGGCCAGGCTGTGTGAAGTAAAGGCGGTCGGCTGATATTGGCCACACCGATCTCACAGTGCCGACTGGTCTATGAAATATAGGTCCAGCGCTCTGTGCCCAGAAATAGATAGACTGAGGCAACGAGGACGTCTAAGAGAAACTCTAAATCGAACGTTGATGAGAGAGGCCAAGGGTGCTGGGCTGGATTCACTTCATGCTATTGAAGTGATCGCACAGGATAGAACGACATGGAGAAACAGACTGCCAGCCCTTTGTGACACATAGTGGCACGACCTGACTTACAAGCGTTGTCAGTGATGCTGCCTATTTGCATTGAGGCAAATTGTTGTCCCAGGTCGACAGCCTAAATGGGTACTAGGCCAGGCTGTGTGAAGTAAAGGCGGTCGGCTGATATTGGCCACACCGATCTCACAGTGCCGACTGGTCTATGAAATATAGGTCCAGCGCTCTGTGCCCAGAAATAGATGGACTGAGGCAACGAGGACGTCTAAGAGAAACTCTAAATCGAACGTTGATGAGAGAGGCAAAGGGTGCTGGGCTGGATTCACTTCATGCTATTGAAGTGATCGCACAGGATAGAACGACATGGAGAAACAGACTGCCAGCCCTTTGTGACACATAGTGGCACGACATGACTTACAAGCGTTGTCAGTGATGCTGCTGACATATCAGAAGATTTTGGAGTGAACGTTTTTCTAAGAAAATCTCTGCACAGTCGTCTCTCCAGCGTTAAATGTGTGTCAGGCGTGAGCCGTCGTGGTGGAGAGGCTAGATGCTCGCCTATTGGTCGGAAAGTCGTGGGTTTGGGTACTGACGAAGCCGGACTTTTTCTTAAATTACCTTGGCTCCCAGGTCGACCTAGCCTTGAGTGGGTACCAGGTATAGTCCTGTGAAGTAAAGGCGGCTGGCGTGATGTTGACGACATTACCCACGGAATTGCGATTGGTCTATCCATATATGCCCAATACGTCTTTACTTAAACGTGTGCCAGGGATCGCTTCAAAAATATTTTTGAAACACTGCTTTGCTGCAAGAGTTACTTCAATGTTGAATTAAGAATCGACATCATAGCACTCGGGATACGCCCATAGGCCCTCCGTCCCCATTTTCAGCAGCAAACGAAGAGTTCCAATTCCGATGATACCAGTAATTGTCTGATTGTACATCCGTCTGGCCTCTACCTTGAGTGTAGAGCGTCGACCAGATCACCTGGTAACTCCCCGCATCGCCATTCCCCACAGACCGTGATGATATATACTCTAGTTGTGTACTTACTTGATGTTGGCAGTGGTTTGCAATAAGCTGAGATTGTTAAAGATAAAACAGATCTCTTCGATGGCCATTGACAAGTCGAGCATGTGGGTCTAAACATATTTCTATAGACCAATCCGGTCTCGATTGTGATGTGGTCAATGTCATGCCGGCCACCTTTATTTTCCATGACTTTATGTGGTATCCATTTAGGGCTGAGTCGACCTAAAAGCCAGGGTCGAGTATGGGGAGAACAAATCCGACTCCTTGTGAATTTGCTCACACGACCTTCAGACGCGTAGGCGAGCGTGTAGCCACTTCACCACGGCGGTCCCTAAGCTGGACTAGAGAAGTTGTGTTTCTGGGCAACAACTTAACTATGATCAAATCAAATTCCTCAGTCAGTTCGTCCACCACAGATAGGAAAGGGGAGAGTAGGCCGAAACAGTGTTTAAGAAATCACAAAAAGACACTGTTAAAGCGGGAATTTTCATGTCAACATGTAACACTATCTATCTATCTATCTATCTATCTATCTATCTATCTATCTATCTATCTATCTATCTATCTATCTATCTATCTATCTATCTATCTATCTATCTATCTATCTATCTATCTATCTATCTATCTATCTATCTATCTATCTATCTATCTATCATGCCACCTATCCTTTGTGCCTTCCTTCCTCCCCTTTTTCGGGGTCGGCTTCTTTTTTCTTTCTTTCTATATTTCTTTCGTTCTTTCCATCTATTCTGGTAGATAAATGGTACTTTAGCATACATTTCTTTGTTTTTTTCTGTCTTTTCTTTCATTCTTTCTTTTCTTTCATTCTTTGTTTCGTTGTTTTCTTTCCCTTTCTTGCTTTCTATATTTCTTTCTGTTTCTTTCGTTCTTTCTTTCTATCTGTCTTTGTTTCGTTTTCTTTCTTTCTTTTCTTTCTTTTTTTTCTTCCTTCTCTTTCTTTTATCCTTCTGTTTTCTTTCCGCTTTCTTTCTTCCTCTTTTCTTTTTTAAATATTTCTTTCTTTTTTCTATTTTCTATATCTCTTTTTTTCTTTCTATCTTGTCTCGTAATTCGAATTTGTATAAAACCAAAAAGGTTTAAAAGTTTAAAATAAATGGCCCTGAAAAGGACCGTTTAATCCAACCTCGTTGCTTGTATCCTGTAGACCTCAGATGACATCGGAAGAACGCTCTGGTTGTTCGTCCACATCCGGACTTTAGTCTTGTCCCAGAGCCGGAAAGTGGCGTTTACAGTCTATCAGTAATATCCCCAACTCCCGGATGTCTGAGAAGGCTCTTGTGTTTCTGACGTATGTCGTATCTATCTATCTGTGCACCCGCCTAAACTTCCGTCCATCTATTGATCTGCAGGCACGATTTTTGTCTATCTATCTATCTATCTATCTATCTATCTATCTATCTATCTATCTATCTATCTATCTATCTATCTATCTATCTATCTATCTATCTATCTATCTATCTATCTATCTATCTATCTATCTATCTATCTATCTATCTATCTGTACTATGATGTGGGCAGTCAGTTCTCTTCGTTTGACAAGGTTTTTTTTTTTTTAGAAATGCTCATTATTCTTTTTATCTATCTGGGGTATTCTCTTATTCCGTCTATAAAACAATTAGGCCTTCTGGGGGGCTGCGTGGTCTCGAGGCATTGTGTCCGCCTCAAGTGCTAGAGGTTTCGGGTGCAATCCTCTGTAAGGGTTGGAATTTGTTTACGTGAACTTGGATTTCTAGTAATTCCCTCTGGTTTCTAGGGTAGTGAGATTGTTGCCCGGGCAAAATGTGACTTACAAATCTACCCAAAGTATTTCAAGATCCTCGCCGGTGCTACAGTACATGTGCACTGTGCTGGGCTTCTTCGGACTCAGACTTGAGTTAGAAGCAGAACGGAGCACTTATAAGCTGCTATCCGTGTGCCATGATGTTAGTCTGTCGTTCAAACTTCAAACTAAGCCCTCTGAAAAATCTTAAGGCATTACCTCTTACGAAAGCCGTCCCAGTAGGAGACGAGGTTCTGTGTTATTTAAAACCCTCACTCGGGCTCTTTTCAGGGCCCTTGAGTATAACGTAACGGTTGGATGGGAGTTTCTGGGACTTCCACCTGGGAGATTCTCATCCCAATAGTGGCACTTTGTGTCACCAGGTGTTTATCACTCGTCGTGCGATCCTAGGGGAGTTGAACGTCAGTCAGTCGTTACCTGGAACCCATTTAGAAGTCCTCCTTCAACACATAAAAAAACCACCTTGGTGCACATTCCAACAGACGACCGGCAGGCAAACGTATATTAGCTTCATCCCGGTGCACATTCCAACATAAGACCGGCAGGCAAACGTATATTAGCTTCATCTCGGTGCACATTCCAACATAAGACCGGCAGGAGAACGTCGTGTCTCTACATCTCGGTGCACATTCCAACATAAAACCGGCAGGAGAACGTCGTGTCCCTACATCTCGGTGCACATTCCAACATAAGACCGACAGGAGAACGTCATGGCCCTACATCTCGATGCACATTCCAACATAAGACCAACAGGAAAACGTCGTAGCCTTACGCTTGCTCTGCATTCTTGGAAATAGAGGCCTCACAATAAATGCTTTATGAAACCTGCTAAATGAGGTAGGCACACTCAGTCATCAACCCTGGCACAAATACACAAATATCAGCCAATGCACTCGGCACAAATTAACCAGACCACAAATATATCCGAACGTTTCTCAGCGAAAGCTCTTTGCAGCAGGTTTAACGTGGTCGAATTTAAAAAAAAAAAATTATGTACAACTGGAACTGGACATGAAACGGAGGACACATGTACTAAATGTCTCTTTGACTTGAAGGTCGAGGGTTCGAGTCCGAATAGAACTGGATTTTTAAAATGACCTCGGTTTCTAGGTGGACCCAGCCATGAGCGGATACCAGGTAAAGTCCTGTGAAGTGAAGGCGGTCGGAGTTACTCTGGCCACATCACCCACTGAGTGCTGATTGGTCTATAACATATAGGTCTAGCCCTATATGCCCAGTATAAGGGCGTGGAAAAAAGTCATTGACTTACCCTAACGCCACAAATCCAGTGTGTCAATGCCTTTTTTCCCAGATGGACTCCTACAGTCTAGGCGTGGTGCTCTGGTGCCTGGTGCTTGAACGAGTAACTGGTTTGGATGTGAACTACTACTTCGAGACCAGAAAGACAGCAGATCTGCAGCCGAGAATCAGGTATGTGTGCTTTCTTTCCTTCTTCTTTTTCTTCTTCTTCTTCAGCATTCCGAGCCCTTGAGGTTCATTGCTGCAGATATCACCTGCCTCCATTCATCTCTGTGGTTGGCCCTCTCTTTCTAGTTAGTGACACAGAGTGTTTGCAGGTCTGTCTGGATATTATCTCTGAATCATCTTCTTGGTCTGCCTCGTGGTCTACGACCATTCATCTACCTGGTGTATACAGTATAATTTCTTTCATAGTCAGCATTTTTACATCAGCATCATCGTCACTATCATCACTGTCATTAGTGTTATGCTAAGCAAGCTTTGTCATTCAACGTTCCTGATAGACATTTTTTCTACACAGTCACGAAGACCAAATGTTGAGTCTAGCCGGAGCCTTCTGTAAACACTTGGCAGGGAGAATACCTAATGGTCAATTCCCCCCCCCCCCCCCATCCCGCTAAAAGAATTTAAATAAATACCACCTTAAATGTATATTTCTATCTATCTATCTATCTATCTATCTAATTATCTATCTATCTATCTATCTATCTATCTATCTATCTATCTATCTATCTATCTATCTATCTATCTATCTATCTATCTATCTATCTATCTATCTATCTATCTATCTATCTATCTATCTATCTATCTATCTATCTATCTATCTATCTATCTATCTATCTATCTGTGTTGGTGTCAGTATGTGTTTGTCTGCCTGTTTGTTAGTATTTTTGTGTGTATGTTTGACTGCGTGTGTGTCTATGTGGTTGTATTGTATGTATGTGTGTGTGTGTCTCAGTGTCTGCTGTGTGTCCCTGTGTGTGTTTATATGTAAGTGTCTGTGTGTCTGTATTTTTGTCTAAGTGAGTGTGTGTTTGTGGTAGTGTCCGTGTGTGCATGTATCTCCATGCATGACTGTATGTATTCCTGTATTTATGACTGTATGTCGGTATGTATGTGTGTATGTATGTATGTATGTATGTATGTATGTATGTATGTATGTATGTATGTATGTATGCCTGTATGTATGTATGCCTGTATGTTTGTCTCTATATATGTATGTATATATGTATGTATGTGTGTATGCCTGTATGTATGTATGTATGCCTGTATGTATGTGTGTATGCCTGTATGTTTGTATGTATGTGTGTATGCCTCTATGTTTGTATGTATGTGTGTATGCCTGTATGTTTGTATGTGTGTGTAAGTGAGCGTGTGTATGTAGGTGTATGTATGTATATGGGTGTGTGTATGCACGCGCGGAGTTTTTGCATGCACTTTACAACTCATGATTTTGTGTTCTTTTATAAGATTCATAATATTCATATCATCATATGATCATAGCATGCTTTATTGGTAGAATACAACTGCTGTGCGAAAGATGGTTGACCGGAAGGGCCAAATGTAAGACGGGCCTGCGTGCCCAATTTGTGACCCTTTGAAAATAAAGTTTTATCTATCTATCTATCTATCTATCTATCTATCTATCTATCTATCTATCTATCTATCTATCTATCTATCTATCTATCTATCTATCTATCTATCTATCTATCCATCCATCCATCCATCCATCTATCTATCTATCTATCTATCTATCTATCTATCTATCTATCTATCTATCTATCTATCTATCTATCTATCTATCTATCTATCTATCTATCTCTCTATCTCTCTCTCTATCTATCTATCTATCTATCTATCTATCTATCTATCTATCTATCTATCTATCTATCTATCTAACTATCTATCTATCTATCTATCTATCTATCTATCTATCTATCTATCTATCTATCTATCTATCTATCTATCTATCTATCTGTCTGTCTCTGTCTATCTGTGCATCTTCTTCTTCTGCCTTTCTATCCCCCAATGGAGCATAGGCCCTCAACCAACTCACGCCAAGTCGTTCTATCCTTCGCCATTACATGGAGCTCTCCCCATGTCCTCCCAATCTTTCTAACCTCATTCTCCAGCTCTCTTCTCCATGTGTTTTTTGGCCTTTCTTCATTCCTATGCCCCTGTGGGTTCCAATGCAAAGACATTCTAGTTATGCTGTTCTCCTGTTTTCTCAGTGTGTGCCCTATCCAACGCCAGCGTCTTTTCCTCACCTCCTGATCCACTGGAGCCTGTTTAGTTCTCTCCCAAAGTTCTACATTAGTTATTCTATCATACCATTTTATTCCCTCTATTCTGGGCAGGCACCAGTTAATGAATGTCTGTAATTTATTAAAATTGCCTTGGTTGTTCTCCATGTTTCCGCCCCATACAATAGTACTGATTTGACATTAGAATTAAAAATTTTTAGTTTAGTATTTCTTTTAATTTCTTTTGACCTTCCCTAGTGCTATGAAAGCCCCTCTTGCCTTTTGTATTCTTATTTTGATATCTCTATCAGTTCCTCCATCTTTATCTACATTACTGCCTAAATAGGTGTACGACTCCACGTCTTGGAGTGGGGTGCCATTAAGAGAAACCACATTACTATTTGCCTGATTTATTCTCATTATCTTTGTCTTTCCCTTATGGATTTTCAGACCAAGCTGCTGTGATCTCGCATTAAGTATATTTAATTTATCTTGTATCTGATTCCGTGAATGGGACAGAAGGGCAATATCATCAGCGAAGTCCAGATCATCAAGCTGTTTTGTAGGGGTCCACTGAATTCCATTCTTGGTGTTAGCAGTTACTGTTTTCATAGTCCAGTCTATAGCCACTAAAAAAAAAGAGAGGCGAAAAAGACATCCCTGTCGCACACCTGTTTTTTATTTCAAATGCATCTGTTAGCTTTCCCTCATGAAGAACTCGACATTTCATGTCTTTATATGTTGCCTTTACTAAGTTGATAATTTTCTGTGGGATTCCATAGTGCCCCATCAATTTCCAGAGAGATTCCCTATCAATGCTGTCAAATTCTTTTTCATAGTCTATAAATCCAATGTAAAGTGGTGAGTTCAGTTCAATGCTTTGCTCTATTATAATACGTAATGTGGCTATCTGATCAGTACAGGATCTGTTTGACCGAAAACCTGCCTGCTCATCTCTTAGCATTTTATCAATAGCATCTTTTAATCTTTCCAAAATAATTCTACTTAATATTTTTCCAGGAACTGACAGCAACATAATTCCTCTATAGTTTTCACACTCCTGTAGATCACCTTTTTTGGGCAGTTTCACAAGATATCCTTCTCTCAAGTCTGCTGGTATTTCTTCGGTCTCCCAGACTTTACTGAATAATCTATGTAGCAATTCTGTTGATGTGTTTATGTTGGTCCTAATGGCTTCAGCTGGGATACCATCTGGGCCTGAGGCTTTTCCTTCCTTGAGAAGATTTATAGCTTTTCTAATTTCCTCTTTGGATGGTATCTCACAGTTGATATCCAGTTCCATTTCTAAAGGCTGGATATCTGGGGGAACCTCTGGGCCTGGTCTATTTAAAAGCATTTCAAAATATTCAACCCATCTGTCCATTTGATCTTTAGTGTTAGTAAGTATCTTTCCTTGACTATTTTTGATTGATCCAGTTGGCTGACTATATTTACCTACTAATTTTCTTGTGTTACTGTAAAGTTCTCTGAGGTTTCCTTTTGCTGCTGCTGTCTCCGCTTCTTGTGCTAAATCATTTAGATATTTCACTTTATCTGCCCTTATATGCCTCCTAACTTCCTTGTTGGCTTCTGTGTAATTCTCCTGAGCTCTAGCTTTAGCAGCTCTAGTTTTGCTATTGTTTAATTCTGCCTTTTTACTTTTTCTATATTCAATCAGTTTAATGGTTTCTGGTGTTATCCATGCTTTATGTTTCCTTTCTTTCTTGCCAAGAACTTCTAAGCAAGATTCATTCCAGATTCCTTTGATCTGATCCCAGCAGACTTCTGTGTTGACATCTTCAGCTAACTGCTGCAACACCTGGTACTTATTAGAGACCGTAACTGAGAACTGTTCCTTAATTTCTTTATCTCTGAGAAAGCCTACATTATATTGGTTTCTATGATTATAAGATGTTATATATCTTTTTAGTTTCAACTTGATTTTACTTATCACTAGGAAATGGTCAGTAAATACATCGGCACCTCTGAAAGCCCTAAAATCGTAAAGGGATGATCTAAACTTTTTGTTAATACATATATGGTCAATTTGATTAGTTGTCTTATGGTCTAGTGATTCCCATGTTGCCTTGTGTATTCTTTTATGGGAAAAAATACTTCCACCAATAACATACTGGTTACCTGCACAAAAATTTGTGAACAATTCTCCATTTTCATTCATTACTCCTAGACCATGTCTCCCCATAATTTCTTCATAACCTGTGTTGTCTGATCCTATCTTAGCATTCAAGTCACCCATCAAAATTTTTTAAGTTGCCCATTCTTTCATTATTTATAATATTTTGAAGCTGCACGTAAAATTCTTCCTTAACAAATGCATCTTTATCATTTGTTGGTGCATAACACTGTATTACCGACATGTTCACATTCTGTTTTACTGTTCTAAAAGATGCTCTTATTATTCTGGGACTCACAGCTTCCCATTCTATTAGTGCCCTGTCTGCTTCTTTTGATAGCATCAGGGCCACTCCTGCACTGTGCGGCGAATTTTCCTCTGTGTGTCATGAGAACAAAATAGTTTCTCCTGAATTAAGAATACTTTTCCCTGTCCCAGTCCATCTAGTTTCACATAACCCCAAAATACTAATTCTATAATGGTTCATTTCCTTTGCTACTTCTATTGTTCTCCCTATATCATAGAGAGTTCTAACATTCCAGGTGCCAATTCTGGAGGTTTTCCTAGCTGAGAGGAGGTTAGTCAACGATCCGGATTCCTTACGGCTTTCTCCACACCATGTCATACTTCTTCTATTTGAAGAGCCTCCTCTCATCTTGGTCGGCTGGATTTTATTTGCTTCTCTTTTTGACTTATTATTCATGGTTGGTTGGTTTTTGTGGCTATGGTTTTTACAGGATGAGGCAGCCAACCTCAAGCCCAACCCTACCCTTAGTCGCCTCTTACGACATGCCTGGTAGGGTGCAGTGTCACTATTCTTTGCTTCCCATGAGGGCCCCGGTGACACACGGGCGTATCTGTGCATACACACAAATATATATATATATATATATTTATTTATTCTTCATATCCTTTAGCACATACTCTCTGCTCCAGTTCAGTGTAAATTAAAAGACCGTTTTCAACACCATCAGACGTATTGAGATATATTGCTGTACCTTTATCTATTCAACTATCGGTGGGAGATGTGGTCAGCTCTTTCGACATCAAGGATTTTACTTTGTACCCTTTAAGTCTATGTCATCCTGGTAGCAAAAGAAAGTTTGAAAAAATTTCGATTGTGTTCGGATTTCAGCCTATAACCTTCGGATCAGCGGGCGATCGTCTAGCCGCTACACTCCAGCGGCGGCACTCGCAGTTCATTATTTTCCCTGTTGTTTACTTCGTTTCCGAGTCTTTTCAACTTTTCTTTGAATAATATATGTTGGTCTACGACAGTGCTATTCAAGTGGCGGTCGGCGAGTCAAGTTCCCTTCCGCTGAGTTAAATTGAGTCAACAATTGTCATCATAGCGCTCGGGACATTCCCATGCATGCTCCGTCCTCATCTTCAGCAGCCAGCTCAGAGTTTCAATACTGATGGTACCGGTCACAATCTTGCCTTTTCTCTGAGTGTGGTGAGCTGGCCAGACCCTCTAGTTACACCCAGGTGCCTCATTCTCTTCAGGCAATAATAATCTTCCGCTGAAGCCTAGTAAGTGGCCCCTACATCATTGTCATTTGTATTGAATTAGTGATCTTTCTTCTTCTTCTTCTTCTTCTTCTTCTTCTTCTTCTTCTTCTTCTTCTTCTTCTTCTTCTTCTTCTTCTTCTTCTTCTTCTTCTTCTTCTTCTTCTTCTTCTTCTATACTTCTGTCAGACAACTTATATCAGGAGCCCGGTAGCCTTTATGAAAGCTATCGTGCAGTCTATATCTTCTTGTATACTAAACAGCTTGTCTTTATTGTGCTTGGAACAGGCCAGATTGCGTCTCTGTTGCCAGCATACAGTTTGACAGTGTTGAAACACATGCTCAGAATTTTCGGGTGCCACGCTGCAGGGACACGTCTCCGTATTTCCTACACCGAAAAATTTGAACATATGTCGACGAAGTCTGTTGTGCCCAGTCCTTAGTCTGAATATAATACACTGTCCCTCTCTAGAGCAGCGATGAAGCTGGTATTGGGGAGAGAATCTGGTGTGTGTATCCAGCCACCTTTCTTGGATACTAGATTGTAATAATGTTTTCGTTTCTTTGTGGGTTAAGTCACTTTTTTGGTTGTACCATGTCACTGCCGCTTCTGGCCAGTCTGTCCGCTATTTCATTGTCTTCCACGCCACTGTGACCTGAAATCCACTGCATTGATCTTTCTATACTGTGGCTTGATCCTCTGGCCCCTGACGATTCCCATGTTCAACAGTTTGGCCACTGAGTAAATTTAGTTGAATAGCCATGGTCTACATCTTACTGTTGTCTAGTGTGTTGGTTGGCATTCCGCTCCTCCATGATTGTTTAATACCTTCTCTCCTATTTACTAATCTCTATTGTCTACTGCGCTAGGCGGCTCCACTTCTGTCTTTCATTTTTTACTTGCATGCTTTAATTGAGACGTTTGCTTTGCGCTCTGAAGATTAATTTCAGTTTGAGATTCATAATTCGGTTAACAAAATGTTGCTATTTTGGACAACCCTGAGGATCGTAGTTGGAGCTTGTGTTAGTGTTTCCTCGATTTATTGCTTTTTGTGTGTCTAGTATTGTAGACAAAGTAGGGGACTGATAGGATTGGGCGAAGTATGGTGTGGCCTTGTGCCACGGGGCCGCTACGGTAGTCATGAAGGCCAGCCTGGGTCACCCCGAAACGTCCTGGCCAACGGGGCTCTGGTAAAGTTGCGACAGACCTAGCAAGCCGGTAATGGATTTAATATCGCTACAACAAGAACAACGAGATATAAACGGACTGATCAAACGAAGCAGTACCTTATATTTCACTCGACACTCAAAGTGGTAAAAATGGACGTGAAGAAGACGTATTGTGGTGTGCATCCACTTCACTGTGTTTAGTAGTTTTTCTCTTTATACACCTCGTTATTATGTGTGGGCTTGCGTCTGCTTCTTTCATATACTTTGTATGTGGGCTTGTTTCTAGCTTTCTGTTACCTTATTTTGGATTTATTTCTGTCTCTTACAGAAGTCTGCTGTGGAGGATTGCATCTACTTCTTGCTATTAAAATTAACTCCTTGAGTACCAGAAGTTTTACGAGAGATGCTCATATGTATAAAAAAATAAAAAAAAAATAAACCAAAACACGAATTTACTGCTTTCAAAGACGCTAAACGCTGATGAAGCCAGATTTCTTAGTATGCTGTGACCACCTACGAACAGGACTGGAATATTTTACGGGATTCGCAGAAGTAAAATCAAAGCAGATGTGGGTCTACCCGTCTGCAGTGATATTGGAACCTCGAGTTGAGTTGAGTCAAGAACTGACATCACAGCACTCGGGTCATTCCTATGCGTGCCCCGTCCTCATCTTCAGCAGCTAGCGCAGAGTTTGTTGGAACCTTGACTAACTAACTACCTCAGGGCTATTCAACTGGTGGTTCCAATCTTGCCCATAGAAACATAGCAAGCGGCCCGCGGATCATTACCAGTTGTATTGTATTACCGATCTGTTTTTGCCGGTCTGTGACCCGTGATGATCCCCATTTTCAAAATGTTGGCCCCTGTGTTAACTTGATTTAATAGCCTTCACCTGCCTAGTTAACCAAGACCACAGTGTTTACTTTCTCCAACTATATTTTGTTCTGTAAAATTGTCCTAAACTATTTTTCTCGTCGTTTAAAATGTTACCTTTTTTTCTCCATATCTTGTTCACTAATTGCCACTGTTGGTCTGTATTCCTTACAGAGACATGTTGCTGAGACTTCTACAGTGGGACCCGGTAGAAAGAGTCACAGTTGGCGATTTCCTTCACAGGGTGCACTGGGACAGTGTCTATAGATCGGTTATAGACAGAAACTAGGATTTCATTCTAGACACACGAAGCATTTCAAGTACTTCTTGGCTTGGTAAAGACAGCAACTGTTTCGAAAACAACAACAAAATTGTTTTAGACCTGAATTCATGATTTAAGTAAACATTGGTAGATTCTAGGAATTACAGATTCAAGTGTATATAGATCAAATATAGACATTCTTCTTCTTCTTCCTCTTCTTCAGCATGCCCAGCTTATGAGGTTCATTGCTGCAGATATCACCCACCTCCATTCACCTCTCTGGTTGGCCTTCTCTTTGCAGTTGGTGACAGGTTTACATGGACATTATCTCTCCATGGTCTTCTTGGTCTGCCTCCTGGTCTACGACCATGTATTTCCCTTGTGTATAGTTTTTACTTCTCTGTCATCTGACATTCTTTCAATATGCCCCAACCATTTCAGTCTGTTACCTCTCATGGTGTCAGTGATAGAAGGGTGATTTAAACAAAATATAGACATCGATTCGATATATAGATTCATATGTTTTAGACTTTTTATCGGTTCGTTAATTATTCTGTGGGTTGATGGATGGATTAGTTAGACGACTAGTTGTTAAGTGAGGCGGTCGACTGGCTGGCTTATTGTTTGCTTGTCTCTTTGATTGGTTGGACGGTTGGTTGTTTCATTCATTGATCGATTGGCTGGTGGGTGGAGTCGGTTAGTTAGTGGATGGATCGATTAGTTGATGGATCAGTTAGTTGGTTGGTTAAGTCAGTCGGTAGACTGTTTAGCTGATTGTTTCCTTGACTCTTGGGTTGATTGGTTGGCTGGCTGGTAGGTCCTTCGATACAATCGGTTGTCAGGCTTGCCTTTTATTTTCTTCCCCAAAGAAAAACAAAATCACGTGAAAGTGTTATTTTTAATTCCTAAAGTCCAGTGAAGGATGTTCAGCCATAGATGTTGGAAGAGGTAGGAAAAGATAAGGATTTTATTTTAGCGATCTTCTTTCTTTTATGTTTTGTATGGGTTTATGGATCACAGAGAATTAGAGCTGGTGCACTCATATCAAAGAGCCCATCTTCTGCAATACATATACATTTCGACAATAAGTTGACATCAATCGCCAAAATGCCAACTTGTGATCTTGAATGTGTAGTTCTCACTGTCTGTATTGTGAGGTGCCGATGAAGATTTTATAGACATAACTTCCATTTTGTCATTTGAGTTTCTGCTGTACCGTGAAGCTGTCTGTTTCTACCACTTATTTTGTTTTGATCTATTTATGTAATCGTGGTGATGATAATGGGAACGGTGATGCTACTGTGAATAAGGACAAACAGAATACTCACTGTTGCATTAAAAACTATTCGTGTAAATGTGTGTGTGCGTGTTTAATGCTGTATGTTAATGTGTAGCTTTGTTTTAATAATGTTGAGCTGGTGTTTTTATTTCCTGCTGTGAAAATGTTAACCCTAATAAACGAACATTATCGATAATGATCCTTAAGTGGCTTGCTTGATATGTATGTGTGCCGATGCTATATTGCACATATCTTCTTGTTTACACGTTATTGTCGTCGTCGGTAGGTTCACTCTTTCTGATTCCCTTGATCAAAAGTTTTCGACTCTCATCTATGCAAAACATTGCTGATTTTTCTGTCACAAGTTTTCGTTGTTACCGATGACGTTACTGTCTTGTTGTTGTTATTGTCGTTGTTGTTCTTCTTCATCTTCTCCATCTTCTTCCACTACTGCTGTCTGCTTTCATCCCTCTTTTTTTAAATGATTAATATTGTTGTCGCTATGTTTCTTCTTCGTCTCCTTCTTCTCCTCCTCCCACCCTCCTCCTCATTTTTACCACTGCAAATGCTGCTGCTACTACTACTACAAAGGCTAATACTACTACTGCTACTATTACTAACACTACTGCTGCTACTCCTTCTTCTACTACTACTGCTGCTTCTGCAACTACTACTACCACCCCCCCCCCCCTTGTTGGCAAAACCTCTTTGCGCCTATCTAGGGGTGGAAAGTGGGGAGCGACACATTAAAGACCACTAGGGTAGTGTTTCGACCAGACCGCCAGGTCACTCCTAGCTGCACGCTTCTCTCCAGACCATAGTGATCTGTTCCTATCTTCTATTTGTCCACTTACTCTCATGACCCACTGGTGCAGAGCCAGCCTGTTCATTTCTCAACACTCCCACACACCCAGAGAAAATGTCCAAAGAACGCTATATCCGGAACATCTAAAGCGATGCTTGCCACTCTGCACGGAACATGCATGTTTCCACCTTTGTTAACATGCTTTGTGTGTGCAGCTAGTTCTCGAGCCATACTGGATAATTAATACTGGGTGACTCAGAGAAAGAGTTAAAGTCTACTATATACATTATCATAAAGCAGGACCTTTGCAGAATCTTGCTCTCATCACAGTCTACCTGGGGGGGGGGGGGGGGGCAGTCTCTCACCAGTTTTCCCGTCTCGTGTACTTTCGTATTCAAAGTGACCACACTTATATCCTGTACCCATCTTCGTGTTGGCTGTGGTCTGCCCCTCCTTCCTGTTACCATGTCCGCTTTTTTTTTTTTTTTTTTTGGTCCAATCCGCTGTGGCGATTAATATGACCATAATATTTCAGCTTCCGAGACAAGATGCTGTTTATTAGCTAATCTTTCGTGATGTTCAAACCTTTTAAAACGTCAGTATTTCTTTTTTTTTTCCTCAAAGGTTTTTAAGAATCTTTTGATAACATGTCAGCCCAAAAGCCCCTATTTTCTTTCTTAAGGACTGAGTCTACCCAAATGACAGCCCTAATAACGTAGGTGATAGACGCTTACCTGCAGACTCGTTCTCTGCGAGGACCATCATTACAGCACTCCAGACAAATCCACGGGTGTTGGCCACACCGTTCTGTGATGATTAGACGTCATGTGCCAGTGGTAAAATTTGTATTATATCTGGCTACTCCAGACTGCACCGCCCCCCCCCCCCACCCCCACTCATGTCCACTAGTCTGGACAAGCATACTGAGTCATGCTTGTTGTCCTGCTCTTCTCTGTGATATTCAGCTCTCGTGGCAATAATAACACGGTTCCTGTCCAGTGCCAGGCTTGACTTGATGACTTGCGTTTGAATTAGATTGAGCCAGATTGTTTGAATTTCTGTCCTGGCTTTCCGAATTGTGAAAAAAAAAGTAAAGGACATTTTTCCACGCCTTTAAGGGCAAATAGGGCTAGACCTATATTTTATAGACCAATGGGCACTGGTAGTCTGGTAGTCTTAGTTTCAGCTTCATAGCAAACGGATCACCTCATCTTTGCTCCGCTCCCGTGCCAACGAAAAATATACAGAATTTTTATCACAGTGTTAGAATTGCAGCTCATCACTGATGGTAGCAGAAGTCGCCAACAGATCAGCAGTTGCCCACGCGATCAATTTTAATCACATACGGGCACCACAACACTGCACAACAGGCATCACGCCATTTTCTGAATCTACAATTCACACCAACACTTTGGTCACAGTCGAAAAAACTTTCCAAATGCAATCCGCAGCTCACATGGTCACGCCATGCATTCAACTCAGAAGCTGGGCGACGAAACTATATCCAGTCTACAAATGTAGCAAAAATGCATCGGCCACTGTCCGGCAGAAGCAAAAAAATTGCCTCTGTTTCGAACAGTGCCGCTGCCTAACGTCCATTTTGGCCGGAAAAAAATCGGCACAAGATGGGTGATGTGGTCAGCATCACGTTGGTCGCCTCTACTTACCGGGACTGCACCCGGTACCCACTCAAGGCTGGGTCGACCTGGCAGCCAAGGTCATTTTTGAAAAAAGTCCAGCTCCGCCAGGGAAGAACCCACGACCTTCCGATCCCCGGCGCGCGTCTAGCCGCTCTGCCACGGTGACTTACTGTCCAAGTTGACCTAGTCTAAAATACATACCAGGTAATGTTCTGAGAAGTAAATCACATCATCTACTGAGTGCCAGTTCAATTTAAAAGTGTGGATCTACAATCAGATGTCTCATGCACCAATTGGAAGTTGCACACTTTTTTTTAACTGTATATACACCCAAACAAAGTGTTGAGTGCTAAAGTCTATATTAACATCGAAAGGATTGACTTTTTTGCACCGGGTGTTATTCCCACATGGCCGGGTCTTTCTGAAGAAGGACTATCCTCTTTCAGACAACTTTGCACAAAGCATCAACCCTGTAGCTTCAGCGACAATCCACAGAGACGTCCCTAAACTTATATTTGTGAATCAAATATGCAGCTGTGAAGCGAAAACATGACATTTAGAGCATGAGAATAGTAATAGCTTGGTCTCACCCCTCCCCAAAATCAAAAATAATAATAGGAGAAACAGAGAGAAATAAGGAAACACAGAGAGAAGAACACATACAAGTAGAAGTTTTCTTGGGGTTTGAGGTTCTGTACAACAGATTAACATCAGTGCCATAAGTGCACCGTTCTTCTTCAAACTCAAGTCTGCACAAGCTCATTAGCACCGGCGAGGATCATGAAATATTTCGGGTAGATTTTTAACTCCAAATTTTGCCCGGGTAGTGCCGTTAGGCTACTCTTTTCGATTTCCAACTGCCAAGGGATTTTTTAAGTGGGCAACAATGCACACGGGTGTCTGATCTCACTACCCAGAGACCAGGGGGAATTACTAGAAGTCCATGTTTATGTGAAAAATTCCCAGCCCTTGCCGGGGATTGAACCCGGTACCTATTGCTATTTTGGACAACCCTGAGGATCGTAGTTGGAGCTTGTGTTAGTGTTTCCTCGATTTGTTGCTTTTTGTGTGTCTAGTATTGTAGACAAAGTAGGGGACTGATAGGATTGGGCGAAGTATGGTGTGGCCTTGTGCCACGGGGCCGCTACGGTAGTCATGAAGGCCAGCCTGGGTCACCCCGAAACGTCCTGGCCAACGGGGCTCTGGTAAAGTTGCGACAGACCTAGCAAGCCGGTAATGGATTTAATATCGCTACAACAAGAACAACGAGATATAAACGGACTGATCAAACGAAGCAGTACCT